AAGCAATTGAAAATTTGGCGGGAAATAATTCTCTCTAGATTTTTCATACATTTAACATTGACAACTTTTTCTTTTCAAGAACTATGAAAGAATAACAAGGATTTTATAAGATTTTCAAACATGGCTTTTTAAACAGTATATAATAAACTTATGAAAAGAAAATTATGAGTTAGCAGACAATTTTTTTTATTGGCATTACATGGATAAAACTAGAGGATTCCAAATATCTGACAAAAAGTCTAAACTTGTTGTATACATAATCAGGGCAGATATGAACATGAGAAAACAAATTGGGAATAATTTAGTAGCATAGGATTATGATTTGATATTTAAAAAAAAATTCATTTAGAAATGTGTACAATGCACCAATGAAGAGAATACAAGACAAAAAGGTGCTTTATTATTAAATTTTTTTTGGATAGAAAAAACTCTACGTTTAAGGTTAATGTACCCTTTTGTTGTTTCAATGCTAAACATATGGAAGGAAATCTTATATAAAAAATCCGCAGCCTTTCCCCTTGCACTTCTATATTTGACAATTCGGTGCTTATAAGATAGAGGGTGCTCTCGACTTTAGTGACTCAATATTTAACAGTTTCCTTTTGATATATGTACAAAATGGCAAGTCACTTTTATTCTGTATTTTCACTGTTTTGATATTGTTGCACTTTGAAAATACAGAATACACAGGCCTACAGAAGGGGTCATCAACCTTAAGTTCAATATAAATTAAATAAAAACAATATTCGTACAGTGTAGGAAAATATAAAATGTATTTGTAGTTGCTACGAAACAGAAAAAAGCTCGGCAAGCCTCGCTTTTCTCTCTGTTTCTAAAGCTCGTAAAATAAATTTTATATTTCATACACTGTGCGAATATTGTATATGTAACAGCACAGCATAAGAACAAACAATAAACATTGACTTGTGACTTTTGGTTGCCCCTTTGTATACTCCCCCTCTTTTTGCAATACGTATCTAATACGCACTTAAAGGTCAGCATTTAGGTGACCGTAAGACAACTACACTTTTCTTGTGTTCCTATAACTGAAAACATGTCTAATGGTGCGATCAGGTTTTGTTTGTGCATTGGGGTATATTTAGGGGGTACTTTTAGGGGCTTTAATATAGAACCCTGCGAGATTTTTTAGAATCTTATTTTCAAATGTGAAAAAAGTTAGTGATAGTAGACACATGGGGTCTTCAGTAATGATCATTGGACCATATGGACTACTTCAAGGTTAAAAGGTCAATAATCACTTATTACCTTGACCTTTGACCTTGAACATTAATTTTCAATTCACACAAAAATTTAAATTGAATTTCAATTTACACACAAAAATAAAAACAAAATGGACAGTCTAAAGAATAGAAAATGTTCAACATGATTAAATAAATTAAATGAAATACATGGCTAGTTCCTTAGGGTCACCACCAGCACCTGTCATTTGAAAATGTTCTAGTATTTAGTAAATGGTCCGGCGAGAGCCCCATCCTTAAACCAATTCTTGTTTGTCATGTCAAAATGATTTGAATGATTTGTGGGATTAGTTCCCAGGGGTCACCCCTGCCATTTGATAATGTTGTATTATCTTGTGAATTGTCGAGATCCCCAACCCTGGACCACACATATTCCTGTTTTTGTTGTTTTTATTTTTTATGTCAAAATGATTCGAATAATACATTAAAGCCAAGGGGTCATCCCCACCCCTGTCATATGAGAATGTTCTTATATCTTGTAATTTTTTGATATCTCCACCCCTTAACCATCATATTTTCTGCAAGATGAATTGAATGAATAATAGAGGAGTCCCTAGGGGCTTATACTTATTGGGACTTTGTTCAGGGAACTTCGTAACAGCACCGTGAGCACCCTGTTGCAATCATTTCTTGTTTTGCTTCGTGAGTTTACAAATTTACCTAGACTGGTTCCTGTTCTTCATCTGTTTAACAAGGGTGACTCAGATACACGTAAATTGCAAGGGAGAGAACCAGCTTACAACTTAACTATGATAATAGTATTTAACTCCTCAGGCTTTTCCCTGAAGCTATATATTATAAATCAATGATCTTTTCCTTTGTTCCTTCATCGATTTTCATTTGACCAATGTTTTATCTCAAAATTGAGCACACCGACATACATTTATTTGACCATTATTTTAATTGATTATGCACTACTAATATAAAAGCCATCAGTTAGGGAAATGCTGATTGATAGATAATATCAGGGCTGTCTCTTGGATGATAGCAGAACCGACTCTTTTTAAAAGTTTTGATAGGGACTACTTACTCATTGTCCTTAGGTTTATAACCATGTTTTCACTAACGAAATAAAACATGGCGCAATTTGTAATCGTTTTAGAAAAGAGAAAATATCATTTTTATGCAATACTACATAAGAACATTTTTTAAAATGTCAATTTACCCAACGATGAACAGACATACCAATATATGTTCAATTCTCTTCACCTTCTTGAATGTAAACTGTCATTTAAATATGTGACTGTCAAATTTATATACAATAATTGAATTTATCTAAATCTTATCAAAGAAAAATGTCTAAGTAGATAAAACATTTACCAACACAGATATGTTATGGTCAAACAACACAATGTTTAGTACAGTAATGACATGCTTATAAGCTTGCATATGTGATGAACTCTTATTATTTTCGGAAAATTAATTCTGACTTCAATGGTAAATTCAGATAATTAGAAATTTTAACATATACTGTATCAAGTTGTTTTCTTTTAAATTGTGGCCTTTTATATAAACGTTTGTTTGTACAGGAATTGATACGTCGTCAAACGACACAAATAACATAACATTCAAGGTTGTTAAAGTAAATATTCATCAAATATACAACCAAATTATACGCTTGACATTTCATACTAAAAAGTAGGTGAATAATTCTAATAGATGTAACTGACATTTGTATTTGTGTATTTTGAAAATGATAAGGACGGTTAAATAAAAATGAAAAGGTAAGGCATATAATATAAGTAAAAAAGCGCCAACGTACACAAAGTAGTAAAAGCGCTAATAAATGTGATGTCATGAATCGAGACCGTTATTATCTAAAAGTGTTGTTTATTAACAGGCCGCAAGCTCACGGCAAGTACACCGTCAGCTGATTACAAACCCGGACGCTAGTCAGTAGACAAATATTTTAGTAATTAATGCAGAATTCCTAACTTTCCAATTGTGTAATGATGCAACCGAATAATAGTCCAGTGGGAAATATTGCATGCAAATGATATTTCAATAAGATTTGAAAATATAAAAGTAATAGTCCTCAGGGAGGCATACTTTCTCAGACACAGTTTTTCTTCTGATTTTACGAGCTGACATGTCTTACTCTTAAAAGTCGTGTGCTCAGATCGACCACCGGAAGTCGATGCGAGTACTCTACCACGAGACCGCCGATGTCGTTTATCCAATCTTCAGTATTTGAAATTAAACAAACGAAGGACATCTTGAGGTCGTATGTTTACAACAAATACAAGTAGCAAAGTATAAAAAGATGAAATTGGCAAACGTCAATCTTAGAGGAGAAACTATTAAACAAATATTTCATGAAAAAGAACAATTTGGTTAAAGGACAATATATTTACTTCAGAATATCCGAGTCCGGGTTTGAAATTGACCTAAATAATGCTTAGTTTTCAGAATCAAGTGCTTACTAAAATTATTATTGGCTAAAAAAGAATACTTAAAAGAGCATTTGAAAGTTATAGTTCAATTTCTTGTCAATCATAATTTACTGATAGCTGCTTTTGATGATTTAATTTTACAAGGATTTTACCGTCGAAGTGTATACATGTAATCTCAAACTTTTCAATATTGATCATGATTTTAATAATACATTCTGACTAAATTTTCAGATGCTAGATTATGCAATGATATAGCTTAACATTAAATGGCCTGCTTGCCCATGCAAAGCGTAATAAGTTGAACGTGATGTATAGGCGTTTAAACATTTTAATGAGAACACGATTGGTAGCTTAACAAAAGATTACATGTGATGAATTTGAAAAACGTAAAGATTGCACACGTTAAGCACATTATTGCTTTTCTGCTAGCTCCTAATTGTCAATGAAAATGTATGAGGATCTGGATGGGGTCACCAGAATTGCAAATAATCGGTAATAAGTGTAGAATAAAAGGCAACAAGTATAGAGAATAAAAAAAAAGTTATAAAAAAATACAGAAGAGAAAGAGAGAATAATAGGATGCTGAAATATAAAGAATATTGAATAACAGGGTAAAATTATAAAGAATAGAGTAGAGAAAAAATGGCCTCAAAAAATTAAAAGAATACAAAAATGAAATACCGAACCCACCCCCCCCCCCCCCCCCACCCCCCAAAAAAAACCAGACCCTCATGTATATCTCTCATAAGGCAAACAGCTCGTACGAATGAATTCGAAGCTACAGGATTGATAACGGAATTGGCAAACAGACTATTTGATACATTTGGTTTCTTAAACTCTTTGTCTCGAGCGTACAGTTATTAAAAAACATGTATATTACGTGCTGGTACCAGACGCCTATATACTATATAAACACTACATGAAAAGAAAAGAAAAAGGAATCACCACAAAATATCGGACAGTACAACAATCCATACAAACCAACAACACCCAACTCCTCATAAGTACATATGGACAATCGAGAACAAACAACTCACCATCATGATAATGATGGTACAGATAGCCTTACTTAGTACAGACACACACTATGGTGGGTTACACCAGTTTTCATTCACACATCCCTTTTTTGCCTATCTAGACTGTATGTTGTAAAAGTTTATTACTAGTATGTTCATTGAAGACCTGTTGGTGACCTTCTGCTGTTGTCTGTTCTATGGTCGGGTTGTTGTCTCTTTGACACATTCCCCATTTCCATTCTCAATTTTATTTATTTTTCACCCTGCAAATGAAAAAAAAAAAGGAAATCGCTTATTATCATATGATAAATTACTGACTAATTGAATTACAGTACAATGGATGGCCAAGAGGAACCGACAACGCAAGTTACCGAAGATGATACATCGAAAGTTACCGAAGATAATATTCTACCACAAGTCTACAAAAGGCGTTGGATTATACTTTTTTTGTTTTCATTTGTTTCGTTGACCAACAGCTTCCAATGGTTACATCTGAACATAATAGGAGATGTGTTACTCAACTATTACAATGCCAGTTTGCCAGAGGACAAATTTCAACAGGAGACTGCTCTAGATTGGCTATCTATGGTCTACATGCTAGCGTATATACCGCTAATCTTTCCATTAACATGGCTTCTAGACAAAAAAGGACTTAGGGTTGTGATTATTTGCGGAAGTTTCCTGAATGCAGTTGGCGCTTGGATTAAAGTAGCATGTGTTAGCCCCGATCGTTTTGCGTTATTGATGTTCGGCCAGTCTGTTTGTTCGGTAGCTCAGGTTTTTATACTTGGTATCCCTGCGAGACTTGCAGCAATATGGTTTGGTCCAAACCAAGTATCAACAGCAACATCTTTAGGTGTATTTGGCAACCAGGTATATTATTTAACATTGTTTTGGATTAAGTACTGGGTTCAAGTGGCCTACATGAGAAACAAATCAACAAAGACCATTTCCTCACTTTTCCTATCGTGAACTTTCAATATTCACGTAACATCACCAAGCCAACAGACTAGGGATAATATATCTATAAGAGTATACAATTTGCAGGTGCTTGTGTATCTTTACAGAAAATCTTTGGTAGAGAGTATCTGCTTGCAAGAACAGAACTAAACTAAAGTTTATTATGTCACCTCTTTTAAAGTTTTGTGTATCCTTAATGATATAAAATGTTCGGGAATGGTAAACTGATCATCTCCTCTTGTGGTACCTGTCGTGATGCTCATGGTTAGTATAAAAATCGGTTAATGGTGTTATCATTAAAAAACGACTTACTCTGCAAGTGCTAATGATGAAGAATAAACCGCTGCCTTCTCTATCATCTAAATCCGAATCGAGTTCTTTGTAGGGTATATCTTTAGAGTATGTATATGTTTTTTCTTAAAAGGCAGTGTCGTCATTTTGTAATACTATGTATTCGTCACGCATTATCGCTTTTTCTTGCTCATCAAATCTTACTATTTTTTTTAAAAATTGCCCTGGCTTCATCTGGCAGTAAACACAATTTTAAAGAGTTGTTGTGAAGGATTTTCAATTACGCAGTCACGTCCGATTGGAATTGGGACGTTAAATCTATAATATCTCGTGTAGGAATATCACCATACTTTCTGCATGTTCAAGAATATTTGCAATAGCTCTCTGATGTGATTACGTTGGTGGCATGTTGCAAGGCAAAATCTCTGCCCTCATGCATAGTAAGTTTTTTTTCACTAGTTGCCAGTCTATTTCACTCCCTTTATGCACATTTTCAAAACCTACTTATGATCTTGAATGTACATAAATTGGAATATTTGACATTGTATGTATAGCAATCGACAGTGATTCAAACTATTTTTGAATAATTTAATTTTTGATGTAACACGTCTTCTGATCGGCGGAAAGTTTTTTTGTCTATCAGCTCAGAGACATAATTTTGTATTGTGACCGTGAAGTCATCAACGTTTTTTTCATGATTTACTCCTTAAAAATGGAATTTAGAATCAATTAATTTATAAGGAATGACTGTAATATTTTTTCTGTCTATTCGAAATAATCTAAAAAATGTGGTGCACATTTTTAAATAAGGCGCTACGCGGGTTATTCAGTGTGCACAACATTTTTTATGTTACTTCTCCAAAGACAGAAAAAATATTACTACAGTCATTCCTTAAAGAGTATAAGTACATGAACTTTTTAATATGCAAATTTCTCATGTTTGACTGTGAAGGCTTGCCATTATACGTGTATAACACTGCACTGTTTGATTTGACAGTTATGCTATTTACAATTTTGTATTTAAAATACTGATTTAACAATTTTACCATTGGATATTGGAGTTGGTATTACATTTGTACCTGTATTATCTCACAAAGAATGGAAATTCATGAAAAAGCGTATTCTAAAGAAAATGAATTCAAGAAATATAAAGCAAGGAGATGTGTTATGATTGTCAATGAAAAAACTCTGCAAAAGACCACGTGACAAGGATGAACATGATGAAAATACCTACGGCATTGAGTAAAACCAATACCATAAAGTAAACTATAACAGGCCCTGGCATGAAAAAGTGTATATTGCTTCAATATACATTATGATAAGTATGGATGGATGTTAAAAGAATAATAACAAAAGTGGCCACAGATACCGAAGAGACATTAAATCTCACGAGACCGACTTTCAAATGACAAAAAAAAAAAGAAAAACGACGACAAGAAAATGAATAAAATGCTACATAGAAAACTAATTTTAAGATTAATCACCACCGCGAACCCCTACAAAAAGGCGGGAATGATCTCAGTTGATATTGAAATGGTAAACAATTCTTGCTCTAATTGAGGCACCCGTAGTGTTGCTCATGGAAATTTGAAATTCGATAACACGTCAAACAGCAGGTTATTGTTTTTTTCATTGCCATATTTGTAGATTGGTGCAGCTGTAGGATTTTTACTTCCTCCGCTACTGGTGAAATATAGTCCCGACATAGATCTGGTCAGCAGCCGTTTATATACTTTGTTTTATATTGGCGCTGGCGTCACAACGCTTCTCTTTTTATTGGTTTTAGTTAGTAAGTATATCTAAACATTATTTTCCGTCACTGTTACACAGTCTCTAAACACATCTGAAAATACACTCCATTGTTATTTGTTGTTTAATTGTACATGTGTTTGTGTGTGTTGATATGCCATTGTCGAACATTTACAAGGTTTGTATTAGGCTTTGGATTTTCAAATATTTTGGTATCGAGCATCAGTGAAGAGACATTAATTGTCTAAATGAGCATCTGATGCAGTAAAAGTGGTATCGTTTATATTACTACTACCACTTGGTCGATACCTCTGCTGTTAGTCCCCGAGGGTATCACCAGCCCAGTAGCCAGTACTTCGTTTGGTACTGGCATGAAAACACGGATATTGCTTTGCTTAAAATTTACTGTTATAAAATTTTGGAATCAATTTGAGTTAAGGAATATATCTCCCTCGTGCAAAGCTCTGACTCCTTTTGGATATACACCAGGTCCTTTTGGTTGATCATCTCTTCAATGTTTGTATTAGGTTTTGGATTTTCAATTTTTTGGTCTCGAGCATCACTGAAGAGACATTAATTGTCGAAACGCGCATCTGGTGCAGTGAAATTGTTACCGTTTATATTATTACGAGGACAGGTGAAATAAGGTCATGTGTCCGTCTGAAAAATTATCCAATTTGAATTAAATACAATCGAAGTTTTATAATTGCGCCTTTTATTTTACGTCTATTACATACACAAATGTGTATTCCAAATAGTTGTAAGTGAATGATTGCATTAATAAAAATAAGGTTAATATATAATACAGTATAGGACGGGCAGATAATAACGCATCCAGATGTAACCTTTGTTCTTGACTTGACTGAAAATAAACTGACGTCAACAAATTAACTGCGTATTTTTTTTATAATTAAGTTGCGAAGGAAAACGGCGACTTCCTTTATTAAAGCGTGTGGAATCTTCTGTAAGGCATAAACATGCTAAGGCCGATGTCAATGACGGATTATCTTTTTTTTTATTTGATTCATCAATCAGAATTTCCAGAAAATGCTCGTGATTTCTATAACATTGACTCTGTTGCATTTATACGTCGTTATTATCAACAATGAGGAAATTTATCCTACGGTAACCCCTGAAAAACAATTTTGAAGAAAATAAAAAAGAAAGATATACTAATAAATAATCTGAAAAAAAACTCAACATAATAAAAATGCCTAAGCAGTATAAAAAGTTATAAATACATCCCTAATTAAATCAGTTGATGTATACTATACATATATTTCTTTTGTAGTTTTTAAGAAAGAACCCCCACAACCACCAAGTAGAGCCCAGTTGTTAGCAGTAAGAAATGCTGCCAGTCAACACTACGGTAAATCCCTGCTGAGATTATTAAAAAACAGAGGATTTCTTCTACTGGTATTAACTTATGGTATGTAAACAAATTGGTTTTTCTGTCACTCTTCGAACAGCAAACTTAAAGGTTACACGCCGGTGCTTTACTTTTACTTCCGAACAACTGGATAGAATATATCACAAAAAAAATTATTAAAATATAAGATATGGTAAGCATACTAAAAAGATAACTTTCCATCAGAGATCAAATGACGTAAAAGTAATCAACTGTATGTCATCGTATGGCCTTCCTCAATGAGCAAAATCCTTACCGCATAGCAAGCTATAAAAGGCCTCAACATAACACAAGAAAAACAATTCAATTTTGTCAAAAGCAAGTATGGATATTGTGTCGTAAACAAATGCATTATATTTTTTTTTATTAAATAAAGGTGTCTAGCAAAAATAACAAAGCTTCTGCACGTAAACACACTTTAAGAATCTGCTTCAAAACTAAATGAAAGCTGTATCAAAAGCGAGAAAGAATACACAACCAAGATGAAAATGAACGCCGTTATCAAAAGCAATCTTCACGTTTTTTTCAAAATATTCAATTCAAAACGACTAGTGAATATATTTTTAAACATTCTAGGATGTACTTTTAGGGATAAACACAGGAGCATACTACGCAATAGCAACATTAGTGAATCCCGTCGTTTTGAATTATTTCCCGGTATGTACTATTTACCTTTACATTTTTTTTATTATAAACTTGATGATATAAGGATTTACGAATTTAAAAAAAAAAAGATTTTACTAGAAAGAATCATTCGTTGTATGCCTGTCCCAAACCAGGAGCCTAAAATCCAGTGATTTGCATTAATTTTATTGTTGTATGCCATAGTTGTTTTTATTTGATTGTGTTTAGCATAAATCAGACCGTTAGTCTTCTCTTTTGAATGGTGTCATATTTTTGTAAATGCTGGGGCCTTTATATGTAACTATATGGAATGGGTTTTGCTCATTCTTGAAGGTTGTATGATCATCTGTGATTGTTAATTAGATCTTCCTTTGGTTACCGGTGGGTAGTGCATCTTTGGCCATCACACTACATGTCTTTATTTCTACCTGCGTCGCCAACGATGAAAGCAGGTCCAATAACCGATCGACTCTATCAGTCATTCCGTCATTCCGTCCGTCCGTCTGTCCGTCCAAAAAACTTTGGGTAGAACACTTTCGTCAATGTTTTCATGGCTTCTATGAAAGGGAATATGGTTTTAAATTTTGTCTGCAGCTTAGTAACGTTGTATTGTAGCGTTTAAGTAATTTTTAGATCTGCCGTGCAACTACTTACGGTTTGTCGATAGTTTGAAATTTGTTTAGCATTAATTTTTCACTGAAATTTTTTTCTTTGCTTCTAGGTGAGCGAATAATTTTGTATTTGGCCTGAAGCTTGATAATGTTGAGTTGTAGCGTGAATGCAATATTTACATCTACCGTGCATCCACTTGCTGTTTGCTTCAAGTTAGAGATTTTACAATACTAATACGCATTGTTCAAGGAAAATTTTTGTCAAAGTTTTCATGGGTTCAATGGAAGAGGACAATTCATATTTGGTCTGGAACTTGATAATGTTGAGTTGTAGCTTGTAGCATTTTAATCCCTTAACATTACATCAACGAAAAAAGTACTTTATTCAAGTCCAATTGAACATAGTTTTGGAAATCAACTTCGTCAGTTATGCTTCTGTACAAATGTTACCTCAATTGATGCAACGCAGTTACAAATCCTGTATTGTTCTTGTTATGCTTGAAACTTGAAAACGTTACATTTTCTGCAATTGTGTACGAACTCGAATATGTGAATACTGGCGTTCAAATATTGGTTATCAAAAAAAAGTCAATGTGTATTCTCCACTGTTATAAATATTTAGGGTCATCAAAAAGAAGCTGGAGAAATAGGATTGACAGTGGTTATTGCTGGAATAGTAGGAGCTATACTGGCTGGAGTATGGCTTGATAAAACTAAAACATTCAAGTAAGAATTTCATCTCGGAGAATATTGTCAAATTGATTAGAATACAGATCAAGGGTCAAAGCATCGCTAACAAGGATATGACAACACTCCGTTCTACTTTCTGTTCAGGTAATTATTTCATCATCCAATGAAATTGCTGCCTTAGCTGCCTACACATTTTTAAAGGTGTGGATCACATCATTAAGGGGATACCGAAAGTTCTTTAAGAAGTAGAACGGAACATTTTCAGATCATTGTAACCGAAGCGTAGACACAGGATCTATATCATAATCAGATTGGGTATTTGGGGATAATTCACATCATTAAAAAAATATAGAAAAAAAATAACATTTTACAATCAGACGAGGAAACAGTAGAATAGTATTTTAAAAACTGTGAGTAGCAAACTTGTTTTGTTGGCTTGATGACTCATTGACGTACCGCCGTACATCTCATTTATTTCATATATATAAAACATGTAACAAGGTAGACTTGAGATAACTGATAAAATATAATTTTACTTCTTTTTCTGATTATCGCAGGGGAACAACCGTTGGTATATATTTGCTGTCGTTAGCTGGTATGGTGGCATTTACTTTCACATTGAATTTAAACTTACTTTGGGTAGTATATCTATGTGCCGGGATTTTAGGGTACGTATTTTCAACTTGTTACTTATTCCAATTTCAAAAAAAGAGTCACGATACCACCCGAAAAAAAATAAATATTGAGATGTTACATTTCTTGATGAATTTAAAAACGAAACTGCAAATTGGTATAAAAGCATATTTGACGGGTTATGTTCTTCTCATATATGTTATGATGGTATGATACTAAACCCCTAACGGGAAGGATTGTGCCTGATATTCATATGATGAAGACATAATCTTTCAATCAGTTTAATTGAAGTCTGGAGCTGGCATGTCAGTTAACTGCTAGTAGTCTGTTGTTATTTATGTATTATTGTCATTTTGTTTATTTTCTTTGGTTACATCTTCTGACATCAGACTCGGACTTCTCTTGAACTGAATTTTAATGTGCGTATTGTTATGCGTTTACTTTTCTACATTGGCTAGAGGTATAGGGGGAGGGTTGAGATCTCATAAACATGTTTAACCCCGCCGCATTTTTGCGCCTGTCCCAAATCAGGAGCCTCTAGCCTTTGTTAGTCTTGTATTATTTTTAATTTTAGTTTCGTGTGTACAATTTGGAGTTTAGTATGGCGTTCATTATCACTGAACTAGTATATATATTTGTTTAGGGGCCAGCTGAAGGACGCCTCCGGGTGCGGGAATTTCTCGCTGCATTGAAGACCTGTTGGTGACCTTCTGCTGTTGTCTGTTCTATGGTCGGGTTGTTGTCTCTTTGACACATTCCCCATTTCCATTCTCAATTTTATTGCTTACACGAAGCAAACTGCATGTTTAAAAGCATAATCGAATGTGTGTGATGATATATCGCAATTTTTATTTACTATATTTCACTGGAAATGACTCATCACCTCGTTTAAATGAGTTGTAATATTATTTTATGGTTGAAAAAAAAATGTCATCATATATCATCAAGTTATTGATCTTTGATATCGAGGCAAAGACTAAGACAGTGATAATTACCTTAAAGAACTTTTAGTATATATTACCTGTTTATGTATAGATATAAGTTGCCTTATGTTTTGCTTTCCAATCCCCTTTTTAACATCAGTGAACAAAACTGCAATATTTGCAATAAGATTTTGAGTTTTTAAACATTTTACCTATTACTAGAAATGCCACTGCAAATTGGTATAAAATCATATTTGCTTACACAAAGCAAACTGCATGTTTAAAAGCATAATCGAATGTTTGTGATGATATTTCGCATTTATTATATTGCACAGCTGGAAAATGACAGAAACTATCGTGAGACATTGCTGTTGTAGTTTTGAAACAAAAGTAACGACCTAAATAAAAAATAGATGACTTTTCTCCCACAAGATCACTCAGAGAACATATTACCAAATACACGTACACCTATTGAAAAAAAAAATCATTGAATTTACAATTTTCTTTTTACCTCTATAGTCATTTATTCAGTTTATATTTAGTACACACTATCATTAAGTTGATAATTTTTAGCATAGTGTGCAGTTGTATGTATTATGACTCGAAAACTTCCTTTCTATATACTTTTTCCATCTACGTAGATTTTTCATGACTGGTTACTTGCCTGTAGGGTTTGAAATTGCTGCAGAAATTACCTATCCAGAATCAGAGGGTACTTCATCTGGTCTCTTGAACGCATCAGCACAGGTAATATGTTCAGAAGTATTTCCCTGAATGACTGATAACGTCTTTTGAATAGTAAGAGGGCAATAGACCAGTAATATTATACAATTACTGTCTTTTGATGAGGTAAATATGCGGTTGTATTGACTTTTGAAAAACTGATTTTCACTGAGGACGAAGGCCGAAGTGAATATCAGTTTTCAAAAGTAAATTAAACCACATATTTACCAAAACAAAAGACAGTACTTGTTGTATTCCATATTTCGAGAGAAAACAATGTACTTAATGACAAATATTAACCAAACCCAATTGTACATCAAACATTTTATCATAACGTTACATGTAAAAGCGCGTGATGTTTAGCGCTGTGAATATGCTGTTTTATTCAAAATTCAATTCATATATATAGGGAAAGCTACTAAAATAATACCAGTATGGAATAAACTGATTTTCAAAATTCGTAAATTAATTTTTAATACAAAATTCAAGAATCTAAAGTATGAAAGAATAAACGTTTCTCCATGATAACATCAGTGAAACAATTTTTTATAGATTGATGAATTAATGAATGAATCAAATAATCTATAACTAACAACGTTTTGTTCTCTAAAACAGCACTAGATTCCCTCAGTTTATAAAATATTTTCGGTATTGCCACGACAATCACCGTTACACTCGGTACTGGTTACTGCTAACACGGCATGAAAACACATCACTTGATTTTTCACTTTTCACAGGCAATGAAGTTAATATAAAAAAGAAATGTGATTAGATTGCCAATAAGACAACTTGTCATCGAAAGTACAAGGATACAAACAGGTTATCGTATGGCCTTCAACAATGAATAAAACTCAAGTCAATATAACCATGAATTACTGTCCGAAATAATTTTCTTGTTTCAGCTATTCGGAATCATTTTCACTATAAGCATGCGTGCAATGATGAATGAAGTCAGCATTTTTGGTGCTAATATTACACTCAGCTCATTCCTTCTTCTTGGAACCGTTTTAACGGGTAAGTACTGTGATAAAGATGATTAAAGTAACAGACAAGTTATTAAGTGTTATTTTCATTTTTCTAGCACTTTGTCGATACCGCTGCTAGTGGACTGGTAGTCCCCGATGGTATCATCAGCTCAGTAGTCATTGTTTCGTTACTGACATGATTTACATAATTTGTTACATTTAAGGTGGTACATAACACTACAGGGAGATAACTCTGTAAAAATCAGCTGAACGTTTTAATCACGTTCTATTGTTAAGGAAATATTAAGCTTCTCAATTATCAAAATTTTTGTTTATCAAACTGCTATATATCCAATGAATTTTTTCCGATAAAGTGTGTGGTTCAAGTTTTTTGAAATTTTCATATTTTTGTAAAAGGGTAAAAGTAAATATTTTGTCAAAATTTTATGAAAATTAAACGAGCCAAATTAATTTTAGTGCAGGTGTTTGGTACCACCTTAACATATTCTTTTTCTAAATTCGTTGTTGAAAATTTAGAAATTAATGTGAAATTAAAGTTCCTTCAGGTAAAGTTAACATTTAAGAATTGAATGCTTCTTTTTGTAAATTTATTGGGGAGTAAAAGCGTTGACCGAAGTACATTTTGTATGAAGCGCGGAAGCTCTTCATTCTAAAAATGTGCGCACGGTCAACGCTTTTACAACCCTATAAATTAATAAAAGAAGCATTCAATACTTATAATTACATTTTTTTTGCTAGGATCATGAAAACACGATTTCTATCAAGTTTTTCCTTTATTTACCTTTGCACTTTATTGCGGAATAAATGAATGTTACATTTCATTTTGAAATGAAGGTTAATTTCAGAATGACGCGAAATTGCTGTTAGCCAATCAAAATAACGTATTATAATGAAACATACATGTAATGTAATTATTCATGGATGACATTTGCTTTTCTTGTTAGTTCCTTGTTGGTCATACAATCCTCACGTATTTGAGTATTTGTATATCCTCTGTTTTTAAATTTTTCGGTAAGTCTAGAGCGTTCCTGAAAAACGAAGATCCAGAAAAGTGCTTCAGACGCACCAGTTTTATCAAGTGTAATTTTCATTTTTCAGCATTGAGTCGATACAGCTGCTAGTGGACTGCTAGTCTCAGCACATATAATCAGCTCAGTAGTCAATGCTTCGGTACTGAAATTATTTACAGAATACAATTCTTAAATTTTCAGTTGAAAAATTATCAATGATTCATAAGCTAAGGTTCCGACTCCTCGGGCAAAATTGAACTTAGATGGATTTGCTATTCCAACTACATATGTAGACCCCGTGTTGTCATATAATCCATAAAGTATTTAAGTATTTATATATACATCCTTTGCTTTCAATTTTTTTTGTTTGATGGTTCGTGATTACGGAAAATTCAGAAAAGCGCTTCGGATGCAGCAATAGTATTTTCCTGGTAGTTTAATTTTTAATTAAAAAAAAAAGGATTGGGTCGATCATATTGCTGGTAGCGGACAGCTAGTCCCCTACGCTATCATCAGCCCAATTATTAATGCTTCGGTACTGATATTGATTTTAGCATAACTTTCTTAAAATTTCAGTTGAAGGCTACGAATTATAAAAAGGCAATGTTGACCTTTGGTGGATTTGGTTATTCTTTTAAGGTCCGTTTTGGTCAAATATCTCCTGACGTATTAATTTGATCACGTGCCACAGGGTTTAATTTTTTTGGGGTTTGGGCGTTCCTCACGAAGGTTAATTAAAAAACAATTGCATCGAGTTTGGGACGCACCAGATCTATGAAGCGTTATTTCAGTTTCATAACACAGCAATTCAACAACACAATAAAGCCAGAACAGATTATTGTACACCAGATCTATGAAGCGTTATTTCAGTTTCATAGCACAGCAATTTAACAACACAATAAAGCCAGAACAGATTACTGTACAATACGTCAAGCTTGAAATTGTCCTAGTTAAGACAAGTTGTGAATAAGTCTTACAAAAGTTATGTCATTAACAACAATACTTTTAAATATAAAAGACGTAAAGAAATTAAGAAATAATCAAAGCAAAGATGTTTTTTGTTGGGACATACATTCAAATATCGGACGAATTTGAAGGAACTTAAATCCGTTCATGTGTCTCATTCAGAAGAACAACAAGGTTACTTGACATATCAGAGTAAACTTCACTTCAGCGAAAGCACATACTAGTATGTCTCTAATATCGGTACACATGTATCACAGATAACAAAAACAGGAATGCGAACACGATCACTTTAGTTGCCATAGTATATTTGTTGTCGGAATTTCACGCAGAAAATAAAATAAATAAACATTTCACATGTATTTAAAAAAAAAGTTTAAATAATATCAATTAGACCAATTTCATATTGAATTCACAAAACTCGAACGAAATGATTTCATATATAAAAGCCAATAATTAATAAATGATATTGATTTAATAGGCGTTATATGAAATATTTAAAATAAATTAAATTCCTGCTAATGGAATCCCTTATTTTATTACACTACTTTTTGTATGTATACAAACACTTCATTTTTTCTCTTTATAGCGTTAATAGGTGCTAATTACAGACGACAGACTGCTGAAAAACAGGTACGATATGTATATCATATATCCGAGGTATAACTTTGCACGCCTTATATTATTTATGCTTTACAACACCATAAGACATGGCCTATTATTCTATTTTAAGATTTTAAATGTTGTTATCGGATATTTTTTGTATTGCAGCACATTAATATTGATTTTTTTTTCTTTCCGAATTCACAATCAATACCTTTGATTTTTGCTATTTGAACTAATTTTCAATGCTAGAACTTCAAAAGATGTAATTATATCTATCACAACAGCAAAATAACAAAATCACAGATGAAACACTCCCGCAATAATGGAACAGACAAAGCAGTGAGTGGGTCTTTATAGGGGAGGGGGGTATGTTTTTTTCCTAAAAAAATACTCTGATCCCAAATTTGATGAAAAAAATATTGTAGTCAAGCAGATGACAAAAAAAAAAAAAAAAAAAAAAATCTGAATCCAGATTTCTCCCATACCTTATAGTGTTAAATTTTGAAGAAAAAAAAAATTGATTGATAGCGTCGAAAAACTAAAATAAAAATGTTCGTACTTTGCGCGAAAAAAAATTCTGACTCTGACAAAAAAACCAACAACCCCCTTGAAGTTAAATGGTTTAAAAATAAAGCAAATTCAGAGAATTGTATAAACTCCAAAAGTTGCGAGACCGGGTGTGTCGACACGGTAAGCGTCTCCTGCTATGCGTGAATCACCCGCCATGCGAATTCACACTCAGTCAAATTGTTACAATCGAGAATAGGACACAATCGATAAAATTACTGATCAAATGGCTATTAGAGTGATCTAAAGATATAATACCGCGAGAAAATGAAGTAGTGAGTTGACAAACACATGTACATCGTATGGTTCAACCATATCGTGATGTTGACCGAAAATATGTAGTGTCAACGCAGTACGTCATGCTTCCTCATAACTCTGTCAGCAGAAACCCTGGTATGGAGCACACCATCTTGATAAGTTCGTAAATATATTATGAATATCCACGGTAGTAACGTATTGATTAAGAAATGTTAATCCAATACAAAGGGGGGGGGGGGTATGTTACTTCTGATAAATTGGAAGTTTTTGACAATTGGAAAGTGGAAATAATTACGTTTGTAATAACAGATAATTTTAGTACATAAATAAATATAACATACACATATACATGTATATATGCTTTCCGTGTTAAAGCACCTATTTCTAAGTTTAAATTTTCAGGCACACTTCTACGTACTATGCTAGAATATATAACAAGCGTTTTTTCTTGTTGATTTTTCAGAGAGTTTCAAAAATAGACTTTCTAGACATCAATATCATTTCTACAAAAAATGAAAAACAATCTGCACAAAAGGACAATGAATGCCTTTAGATGTGTGCTGTTTGCGATGCATGATGCATGCAAGAATGATTTCGAAACAGTCTTCCATCATTGACCGAAGATGTTACAAATATAGATGAATACTGAATGGAACATCACACTGTTACCCAATACTAACAGAATCAACTTTTGTACGCTCATATCGGTTCCTATGTGTCAATTGTACATGTTTTATGCCTAATTCACACATTCATGGATCACCTCGCCGGTTCCACTACGGATTAAATCTCACGGATGATCCCGGAATTGCAGTTTCTGTAGTCTGTTACGGATCCGATACGGATGCACAACGGTATGACTACGGGCTTTCACGTATTTACCACGGGTGAAGTAGGAAAGGGGTCATTTGGCGACATGACTCATACGGATTCGTACGGTACGACACGATTTAATACGGATTCGTACGGTACGACACGATTTAATACGGAAATGACACGGTTTAATACGTAACGGCACGTGTCGGGGCGTATGTACTGCGGATAAACAGCGGTTTGCTACGGTATAAGTAAGAGTTAGTACGAGTAAGAACGGTCCGATACAGAATAGTACGAATCACCACATTTTCTAAGCCGTCAATCATTTCTATTTTCTTTATGGCAGTTAATCGATGTTTTTGTTTTTTGTTTTGTTTTATTAAATCAGTTATCGCTCTGTCTGTACTAGGTGGTTTTATTCGTAATCGTCAGACCAACGGCATTTAGCAGTTCTTGGATCATATTTGGGTCTATTCTTTTAAAGTTCTTAAATGCAGCTGAATTTTCCGCACACAGTTCAGCCATGAGGGTCTAATACTGGCCATGGATAAGTCTTCGGAGAAGCCAGTCCCTAGTCCACCATCTCCTCTGCCGCCGGTCACATCTACGTCTGTCGTCAAGTAGCTCGACCACTGTCCTTGCATTTTTTGCCATATCAATATCTAATTCCAGTCAATTAATTGCAAGCATCAGTTATTGATTGTTCATGTTTGATAATGTTATGTATAACTCTACGGCAAGACACAGACTAGGGGCCCTATAAGTAAGTTATTTATACAGAAGCCTGATGGCAGTTTGTCGTGGGCAGTAATATTCCGTATTTTGTAGAACCCTTGGTGATCCCTACCTATCCGTATTACAACGTTATGAAATCGTGCCTTTCCGTGACAAATTCGTATCCGATCGTAGTGTATCCTTAACAAATACGTGGTGCAACCGTACTAGTACGTAGTTCTCCGAAACAGACCGTAGAAATACTTCGGGCATACGAATAAGAACGGATTAATACGGTTTTAATAAGGACTAAAATGGATCAGTACGTTCAAATACGGTTTAGTAATATACTACGGTTGTTTGATCCTTGGTCAAATTTTGCGCATGTTCAAAAATTGTCCCGGATATATCAGTACTACTACGTATGACTACGGACCAAAACAGATCTTGCCACGAATGATGTCGGATCGCATCCGTGGCTAATCCGGCGTCAAATCCGTGAATGTGTGACCTAGTCTTATGCTACATGTGTTTTTTTGTTGTTGTTTTTTTTGCTTCGCACCGATCTGTTGAGTTAAGCCATTTACCACTGATTTTCATAGTTTCTTCTTATGTTGTGTTGTTACACCACTGTCACATAGTGGAGGGTTAAGCGCATACAAACATGTTTAATCCCGCCACTATCTTCATGTTCTTGTCCCATGTCAGAAGCCTGTAATTCAGTGATTGTCGTTGGTTTATTTCTGACATACATGTATTTTTTTTTTTTTTTTTTTTTTTTTTTTTTGTAAATTGTATTGTTATGAACATGACCAGATGACGAATTAAGCCGTTCGTTTTATTTTTTTGTAGTTGTTAATTTCACATTTGTCCTGTGTTTAGGTTTTTCTCATTGTTTAAGTCGGAACGGTGGCATGAAATTGCTTATATCTTCGTTATTTGAAATCTGGTGGATAGTTGTCTCAATAGCAGTCATACCACATCTCCCTATTTTTATATTGATGCACATTCAGTTCAATAAATTACCCAGTTTATACTGTTTCGTTGCATGTTGTTTATAAAAAGGACAACTGTAGAAGAGGGGCGAAAGATACCAGAGGGGCATTCAAACTCATGTATGTCGAAAATAAACAGACAACGCCATGGCTAAAAAAGAAAAAGACCAATAGACAAACAACAGTACACAAAACACAACATAGAAAACTAAAGACTGAGCAACACGAACCCGACCAAAAACTGGGGGTGATTTCAGGTGATCAGGAAGGGTAAGCAGATCTTGCTCCACATAATATACAAGGCTGATTTTGACACGCATTTCTTTAGTATCAAACTTTTAAACTTACAAATTCGAGTATCCTTCTTGGGACGTTTACAATTCATGTTTTGAACAATATTTATTTAGATATGTATACAACAATAAATAAATTTCAATATATATGCATGGAGTGTCATTTTATATATTTTGCTGATTCACTTGCAATGATTAGTAAGGAATAAAGCCATCTCTATTGAAGAGACACATTTTGCCTTGGAAAAAAAGCGGAAGATACCATGGGGACATTCAAAACTAAGTCGAAGAGAAACTGACAACGCCATCATGGCAAAAAAAACGAATGTTACCTCTGATGATTGCCACGGATCACATGTACATAACAAAATAGTTTGAACATATATTGAATAATTTACTGAAATATTTGAATTTTTTTCTTATTAATTTATCCGTTCAAAATTTTCAGATCGGTTCATTTGAAAATGAATTGGTACATTGCACAATGGATATTACCTCTATTTATATATCCGTTCAGGAGTATTACGCAATAGACAAATTATTTCACAAAAACTTAACCTGTGTTGTATTGTATTTTGTTCTGAGTCCGTGCTAAATAAATCTGTTGTTTTGGACAATAATGCATGCATCGAAATACAGGAATTACCATAAATATTGAAGTATACAACAAACCACACCAACCAACAACGTACAACTGACTTCTATGGAATAAAAATATACACATAAAAGCAACAACAACAAACAATACATATGGTCTACAAAGTCTGTCTTAATGGTTTTGGAAAGGATTCCGCTCAAGCCAGTGCTTGGGGCCGTCTTAAACTTGCAATGAGGTGAGAGTTTTTTGCTCCGTTTTGAAGGCCTCACTGTGACTTTGAGATGAAGAACAGTAATACAAGTGCTGTTCCTTTGCGTTTTTGTGTTTTTTGTTGTTGTACATGTACTGATTTTGTGTCATGGATGGATTCCCCTTTATATCCTTTGTTTTTCTATAACATAGCCTACCTTGATATGTACAGGTACAAACGTGGTGGGGTACGACTAGTTTATATTTATCCTGGTTCCCGGTACTACGTTCCAGGTATTAGCTAATGTTACTGAATATTGCGATCGGGAACCAGTCTAGTTTATATTTGACTGGTTCAGCTACCAGCATGACTATTAACTAGAAGAAAGAAAATTGGATGGCACATAATTTCGAAAGCAATGTGCTTGCTTGATGGTGCAATTTGATAGCAGTTGCATGACAGCAATATCCGATGTACGTGTTTTGAGATGTGTTCACAGTTAATATAAAGATCTTCAAAGATACCAGACTTATATTTTGTACGCCAGACATGCGTTTCGTCTATACATGGCTTATAAGTGACGATCGAATCAAAAGTGTTAAAAAGGAAAAAGAAGTCGGGTTTAATATTTTTAGAGTGACTGTTGACGATAAATCAGACATCGACTGCATATGTATTATTTCTTTTCAGTTTTACGTTAATTGCCCCTACCAGAGGTACCAGAGGTATATATTCCTTAAAATTAAATTTTTGAAACAGATAATCATGTATCGCTTGTTTGCAATTCTTGGTATGATTGGCAATGAGACAACTATCCACAAAGATCAAATAAATTGGATGTAAGTGGGATATATATTTTACTAGAAACACAAGTATTACTTCAGATATGAGGATGATACATAACGACTGTAAAATATTTTAAAACCATTCAGAAGTCCGCAGTATCATTTTGTAACTTGTAGAAGTAACATTTGTGTCAAAGCAAAGGTCTTTTAAGTCATCTTTATAATTAAGACAGTCATATAATTTTGATATATAATGTGTCCCAAAATTAATACACTACACTGTAAAAATATTTTTTGGATAGAGCAGGTGCTAATTTTTGTTAAAATAGTTTTGTTGTTTTCTGTTTTAGATAAATTCACTACGTCATAACTGTTTTCTCGGACCAATGTTTGTTATGTCTGTCTTGTTTTACTGACGTCATTTGGTCGGGCTGTTCAATATAGTTTTTATAAGAATTCTTCGACTGTTTTATAAATTGTTTATATATTCTGTTATTGTAACTCTCATACAATGTTATGACTTTCGGCCTCATTTATTCTTCTCATTACACTTTAATTAATCATGATTTTACGAAATGGAAAGAAAACATTATACAATAATCCTTCAAGGATATTCACGTGCTCTAAAAACCTCATTCCAAATATTAATTCAACCGCTGTCAATCGAAATTCCCCATCTAAATTTAGCACTTTTTATAATTGTGTCAAAGGTGGCAATGCTGCTGCAGCCAGATTATTCAATAAAAATGCACGTGGATATCCACAAATATTTCCGTGCAATGCCAGAAAATGACAAACCTGATCTAGATTATCTTCTGATAATACTGTATAAGGTCAACAGTGAACGGGAAAGCTTTTTCGCTTTCCTTTTCCTGTGACATTACATGAAAAACCCAAAGCCTCATTTATCTGGTTACATGAACAAAGCCAAAGAGTGGTATACAATATGTAGGACAAACAGGACGGGAGTTTTTTTAAACGAACACAGGAACATCTATACCGCTTCCGAAAACCTAAGAAATTCAAAAGTATAATTTATCAACATTTAGGTAAACACAACCACAATATTGAATTTATTAGATTTCAACCGCTCGAAACGATCCAGAAACCGCAAGGGCAATCGCATAAACAATTTGAAGATTCCCGTAAAATTATCGAACTGTCTTGGATTAACAGCTTATCCCCTGGGTCTAAATGACAATATACTTGGACAAGGGAACATATCTACAACTTCTTCTATTGATATCATGAATATTATGGATAAAAGACAACGAAATAATAGGTCTCATGGCAAACGTATCAATCGAAATCAACGAATTAAACATCGTATAGATTATACACTTGGTAATCTATCTATATTTAAAAACAATGGTAGGCATCAATTATTATGTAAGCTGGGTCAAATACCAATTAGTAAAGTACATGATATTTTAAAGGAGTGTGACACCATCTCTTTCTTCAGCCCGCTGTATGAATATTCTCGTATAATTACAGCTTTTTGCCACCATAGGCTGTTCCCGCGCATCGACAAACCTGAAGATCATAAACGTCATTTTCTAAAAATTAAATATATTAGCAGAGGTATTGATTTTACCAATATCTAGTATATTTAATGACTCTACCGTTCAAAACTTCATACCTCCCTATTTTGATAACACAGAACCACCTAATATTTCATACACATACAAAAAAACCAGCAGAAGTTTAATTTTTAATTATACGCCGGTAACATCAGACGTCAATGTAGAAAATAATACTCCTTTAACTTGAAACTGTGAATCGTCGAAGTTTAGATATGTTCCCATGATATGTTATTATGGGGGACCTACATATCGTCCAGAAAAGAGAGGTTAAAAACTTTTTGAAAAAAGGACCAAAATATCGTCCTCCATCTAAAATAGATTGGAAACAGTGTCGTCAGGTCACCAAAGATGCTCTTTCCTCGTTTTGTAAAAATTGGTGTAAACGGGAAAAATCTGATAAAACATCTCTTGATTCTTATTTATATAAATGTATGAATGTAGTAGATAATAGAATATCACATTTTGAAAATAATTTAGAAGTAATTAATAGAGTACATAATACGCCTATTTCCAGAATAAGAAATAAACTTCAAGAACTTTCAAAGCGGTTTTTGTTTGTACCGGCCGACAAAGCAGCCAACAATGTGGTGGTGGTATGCCGTAAATACTACACGGACGTTCTTAAGAATGAAATTTTAAATTCATCTACATTCAAGTCCATGCGCCCCACAGAGAGTCATATAGTTAACAAACATATCATAACCACATCACAGCTCAAGGCTTCTTCTGAACATTTGAAGGTCCCTACTATGTATTGGTTACCTAAACTACACAAAAAAAAAACCAGTAAAATATCGTTTCATCTCGGCCTCTAGTAAGTGTTCTACAACTAATCTTTTAGTGCTTTTAACAAGTTCCTTAACTACTATCAAATATCTTATCATAAACTATTGTAATAAAATATATGAAAATAGTGGAATTAACTTTTTTTGGAGTGTAAAAAATTCTTCGGATGTTTTAGATAAATAACGTGCTTTTGATGGTCCTTTTGATTCTGTTAACAGTTTTGACTTTTCTATTCTTTACACTACACTTCCACACAATCTTATCAAACAAAAATTTGACTATTTAATTAAATGGTCGTTTGGTAAATCTGAATGCAAATATATTTGCTGCAACTAATTTAAAGCCTTCTTCTCTAATGAGAAAGGTAAATATGCTAGATATACTTACTGGAGGTGTGATGAGATGATTGAAGCTGTTAATTTTCTCCTTGATAAAATTTATGTACGTTTCGGCAGCAAAGTTTATCGACAGGTTGTATGTATTCCTATGGGCACTAATTGCGCCCCTTTAATAGCAGACTTGTTTTTGTACTGTTATGAATCACAGTTTATTACGAAACTCAGTAAAGACCCGTCTAAATTGCATTTAACTGATAAATTCAACAACACTTACCGTTATCTTGATGATATTTTTTCGTTAAATAATCAAGAATTTTCGATACTGCCGAAATTTACCCAAAGGAACTTACCTAGATTTAGATATTTCGGTTTTACACGGGAAACTCCAAACTAAAATTTACGACAAAAGGGACGATTTTTCGTTCCCTATTGTTAATTTTCCCTTTTTGGATGGTGATGTTCCTTTGGCACCATCTTACGGTGTTTATATTTCACAACTCGTTCGCTATGCCCGTGTCTGTTGTGACGTTTTTGATTTTAACGAACGTACTCCATGTATTACTGGTAAATTATTAAGCCAGGGATTTCGTTACCACAAACTACTTAAAACCTTTACTAAATTCTTCCACAAATATAAAGATTTGGTTTTGAAGTTTGGTTGTACCTGTAGAAAACTTATTTCAAACGGGATTGCACATCCTCATTTTTACGGCAATATTGTTTACCGTGCCCGGAAATTTAGAAACGATCCTGGTAAACTTATCGATCCTTTAAATAAACTTATTCTAAAAGGTTACCAATTCAACACTGTAATTAGATCATTAAATATTGTTTTTATTGGTACTAATATTGATTTTGTTATCAGTAAATTAA